CATCGCCTGCCATGGTGTGAGTTGATCTTGCAGACCGTGTTGCGACTTGGCAGTAGTTTGACCTCGAGAGTGCTGGCTGCCTATTTAGTCGTCGTGGCCTTCGTGTGCTTTAGTGCATATGGAAGTTCATGATTATAATCTAGAATTAGTACGATAGATGAACTATCTGGCGATGAATGTCTATGTGAGTTGCAACTACTTGATACGTCTATAGATCTGTGGGACATAAGTGACATATGATGATGTTTCTTACAGTGACCACTTTACTCGTGACATGGTGTAGTAGGTGGTGACGACGCTTAGTCTATAGATTTCGGGGGTTATAGTGGGACCTACCACTGTAGTTGAATATAGATCCTCCACTAAGTGGAATAGAATCGCCTCGTGCTAATTTATAGCATTGCTGCAATTACTGGACACTGCTTAGCGGCATAGTGACAATACGCGTGCAATAGATGCATTCGTGCAATGGTCTTTGTACCTCTGATATGCATAGGTGATAGTGCTATCATGTGTGCGTGAGATTCCGTGGGTGCCTTGATGCGTCGCTGTTTGATTCTCTAGATTGTGCGAATAATAGTGTCTAACTTTTCTGAGTGTAATAGTTGACTTGAGAGCACTACCTGTAGTTTGTGCGTAGCTGGCAGAGTGCATAGTGCAGTAGGTTAGTCCATGGCTTTAGTGACGCCAATGTGGCATAGATGCAGTCATAGTTGTCATTAAGATGATAGTTTCGTGCATGGCGTGAGACATTTGGTGGACATAGTGATTTTGGGCATTCGATTGCACCCATGTTGTTATTTAGGTTGCAGTTAGGTTGGGATATGATGCAATAGTTACTATTGACGTATGTATTTTGAGATCTCGACGGACAAATATCGGCTCGTGATTTATTAGACTGACTCTTGCAATATTACTGTTCGTAACGTTAGGCTAGCGAAAACATACTTTGGCGAATGACATACAATAGGGAAGGTAGTTCTTGGTATAGACTGAATTAATAAAAAACTATGTCCGTGCGAGTTTAATTTTGGTTTTCAAAACATGCTTTGTATTTACAGGAGAATGTCGAAATCGTATGTAATTTCGCGTTAGATTGCTATACAGCGCCTATACCTGCTGCCGATATTCGCGCTCGTATCGGGGGATCGCAAGAACCACGGTGTTGCGATCAATTTCGTATTGCTGTGCTGAGGTTATTTGCCCTTTACGCTATACTTTTCACTCGTATAGTTTTTCTATCCGCGAATTAACTCCCCAAATTCGCACTTTACACTCCAGCGGTACAGGGGACTGCTCCAAATATTTGCATACTGAATTTTTACGTATAAGCATCAATGATCGAAGGCGGAATTTGACCTCCGTGTGCACAGCTGGGCCAGTGTTCGGAAATATCGTAGTGTTTGCTGTCGGCTCACCTTGGGAGAAATATAAACCCCCTTGGATCAGCGCGAGAGAAGCCTCCTCTTAGTTGAGAAACAGTGATATCAACGCCTAAATAGATGAGTGAGAACACAATAGCATGGATTAGCTATTCAGGTGCATTTTTGGATCTCATCAAGTTTGCTTCGTTAAACGATTTTACTTGAATAGGTGATTTCACTCTGTCATTATTCCGCTTGGCAGTGCCGCACCCGTCTTTACGGGAATTTGTCAGACATGTCACAACTCTAGTCGTGCGCGGCGGCTGCACTGGCGGCTGTTGTTTGCGCTCGCGCTGCGCGGCCTTGTACATGCTTGTATGCGTGCACAGCACCACGCACCGCGCCGTCGACATGATGTGTAGTGGGTACGTGACGCGGTGCCCACTGCCCACTTTTTCGAGTAATATGATAGACTCTCACGGTTATGGGAATGGTGTTCTTCACGCTTGACGAGGTTGAATACCGACCCATGCGTCCAATGACTCTACGGTTAACCCTACCATACGTCTCGAGGCATGCTCATATTGGTTTGTGGAGCTGTGTCGATTTATTATAAATCTGAGGCGTCGCACCATAACCAAGCTGCCGATTCTTTCTTCCAAACTGTTTAGTGAGCCGTGAACTTAGCTACTAACAGGGTCAACAACATGCCGAGTGTATCTTCTCAATCTCACCATGGCAGAGTCGGCACTGGCAGCAGGTATACCACAACCGCATGTTGAGTAAGACAACCTCTGCGCCTGTTGTGCGTGTGTGAGAGCCAGCTGCTATCGCCAGCGGAACCGTGCTTAATGTATAGTTTCCGTCAGCCGCAGAATTTCTGTGTGGTTGTATACTGTAGTTCGGCGCAGGCGAGCGCGCGGCCGAATCTGGAGGCCGGAATAGTGAGTCTACACGTAGGAGACGAAGGAAATCCGGTAGTTGTATCCCGGAGTCTAATTTGCTAACGGACTTCGAATGCTAACGCTCGGACTGCTCGCCGCAGCAAGTACTTAGTTATGTTGCTCGACATATTTTGTGAACGTTCTATGGCTTGCGGTTTTGTTGGGCCAATCTGACGCTTATATACGACCCGGAAATGTATCCGGGTGGGCTGGCTACCGTGTATCCACCGCTATGCGGTCCTATAATGCGGGAAATTCGAGCATCTTTTTTTCGTGCGCTCATACCGGATACAGCGCCCGATGAGGTAATTTCCTCTCTGCGCTGCGGTTGACTGTGCTGAGAGGAAACTTCCGTGCAGAGTACTACTCGTCACCGTGTGTTTGGTGTCTGTTGCGGTTCTTTGCGTGCTGTGCGTGCCGTCGCTCGCGTGACGGCGCCCGAGGTATGTCTGATGTCGAAATTACGCATATGTCTCGGGCGAATGTGACCAAATCGTTCACCGCTTACCACGCACGTAGCGGAACTAACACAACCTGGAATGACATGTAGATGCATTTGCTAGTGTTCCAGTGTAGCGGTATGCGCTGGGTTAACCCGGCGTAGGAGCATATATAGTGCTATAGTCAGGTCAGCTCGCCATACACTAATAACAAACAGCGTTGCGAATCTATTTGCTTACAACTAGCTGTACAGGAGCTCATAATATACTATATACGCTATATCGTATCGCGTATATATATATGTATCTCTGTACAGCTAGGTCTGTCTATGTGTTTGCGTACTCTGGTGCGGCGTCCGGTAGGCGAAATTATTTTTG